ATCTTTTGTTCTTTAAGTCAGGTATATTCCTAGATGTTTCCATTTGTATTTGGCTATTGTGAAGGGTACCACCTATTTGATCTCCTCTTCTGTGGTCTTATCCAATGTTCATAACAGTCCGATGGATTCTGTTTGTTGGTCTTGTATCCTGCCACTCGGGGTGGCGTCTGCTGAACCTTGGAGCTGGGGACTGTCCTTAGAGACGAGAGGGTCCTCCAGAGATGGCGTGGAAGAACCCAGGGGCTGGGCCCTGGGTGGGCCGAGAAGGCAGCCGAGGAGAGTGGGAGACCAGGCGGCTGTGGGACAGCAGGGTGAGATGCCCAGCTTCATCCTGGGGGCCATCGGTGTGACGGACCCCGTGTGACAGCTGTGGGAGCAGAGCGGGCGGGTGAAAGACAGAGATGGGTGTCCGAGGGTTTGCACGACGGCATGACACTCAGCCACCCCTGCCGCTGCTTCTCTTGCGGTGGCGGTTGCCGTCATGAGGTTCCATCCATCCAGTTTGCTCCGACCCACAGCCCCCCAGGCACCACAGGTCCTGTCCTCACCACTGTCCCTCCGCCTGAGCCCATGGTTGCTTCCTCCAGGACAGTGCATCACCTGGAGGGCCTTCCCTCACCCGTGGGGGCTGTGCTTGAATGGGGGGGAGGGCAGGAAGAAGGACTGAAGATGTAGAGGGGTGGGGACCCCCCAAAGAGCCCACCAGCCTCAAGTTGGTGCACAGCCCCGTGTCCAACACACACACACACAAGGCACTCCCCCTCCTGTCTGCAGGAGGCGTGTGCAGCGACGTCTGTCCGGGTTGCCCCGTCTCCCCATTGCATGGTGGCTTAAAGGCAGAACTGAGGAACAGGGGTGAAGCCGGACATAACTTTACAGGCTGCAGACGGGACTGCTAGCTGCCAGGTCCACACCTGAAAGCCAGCAGCAGCGCCCTGGGAGGAAGAGGCGGCCAGCTGTCTGCTCCTGTGGGGGTGGCCGCTCTCTTCTGTGCCAGGGGTGGGAGTGGGGGACGGGGCAGGCTCTGTGAGGGGGCCTGGTCTCAGCATTGGTGGCAGAGAACCAGGAGAGAGACTGGAAGGTAGGGCATGTGCCGGTGATGGGTGCCTCCCTGCAGTGTTGGCCTTCTGTCCCTGCAATGATCATTGTGTCTGCCTCCACCTGCATGCCCAGAGCACGCTTAATCCCCGTTCACCCACGACGCTGCTCTGTCGTCGACATCAGGATCTGTTTGGGGCGCCTTAAAGCCTCGGAAGCGGAAGCCGCGTGACTCCATTACCTCCCTGTCTTCTCAGCAGGGCACGGGCATGGCTGAGAAGCCATCTCCCAGCCCACTGACACCCACCAAGCACCTGGGAGGGGACCAGCTGTACAAGGAAAAAAATTTTAATATGCAAATTTTTTAAAAATCATTTTATTAGGGGCTAGTACAGCTCTTATCACAATCCATCCATCCATCCATTGTGTCCAGCACATTTGTACAATTTATTGCCATCATCATTCTCAAAACATTTTCTTTCTACTTGAGCCCTTGGTATCAGCTCCTCATTGTTTCCCCTCCCCCATCCTCGCTCATCGCGAACCCTTGATAATTTATAAATTATTTCATGCCTGACACTGACCGATGTCTCCCTTCACCCACTTTTCTGTTGTCCATCCCCCAGGGAGGGGGTTATAGGTCGATCATTGTGATCAGTTTCCCCTTTCTCCCCCGACCTAGAAGGCAAATCTTGCCTAAGAAGCTCCCTCCGGGTGGTGTGGTAATTAGACACCGGGCTGCGATCCTCAAGGTCAGCAGTTCAAAACCAGCAGCGGCTCTGAGCATGGGAGGAGGACAGGGCTTTCTCTTCCCGGGAAGAGTTGCAGTCTTGGGAACCCCCAAGGGCAGCTCTGCTGGAGGGTCTCTGTGAGTCGGCTTCAATGTCATGGCAGCAGGGAGTTCAGTGTTTGTTTAGGGGGAGAGTGGTTTAGAATGCCTGCTGGGGATGGCGGCTGAGTCCTGATCCCCCCATAAGCCAGTCACCATCCTCGGTACGTTTCTCTCCCATCTCGCTCCAGATGGAAGCATTCTGGAGGTGGCTGGAGAGCCTCCAGCGCTCCCTGGGGGACCAGGTCAAGTGCTCCAGCACCAGAGCCCGGCAGCTCGCCCAGACGCTGACCGACAGGATGGCCGACACGGAGCACTTACTCCGCGAGTCCCAGGACGCCCAGGCTCTGGTAAGGCGGGGGCCTTCTGGGAGGGGTGTGGCACCCGGGGGCTTGAAGAGGTCAACCAGCCGGACCCTTCATAGCGCAGAGAAGGGGACTCGTGGGCTCCGTCAGCAGAGATGACAGCAGTGCTTGGGGGTCAGCTGACCCGGTCTACACACCGGGTGCTGACCGCAGAGGACAGGCCTGGCCAACTCCTGCCACTGGAAACTGCGTGGAGCACTGTTCTGTCCTGACACCAAATGGACAGCGAATGGCCAAGTGGCCAGAAGGTCCCTGTGGCCACTTCTCAAGCCTGGCCACCCTCCATTTGAGCAGCGGTTCTCAACCTGGGGGTTGAATGACCCTTTCACAGGGGTCGTCTAAGACCATATTTCTGATGGCCTTAGGAACCAAGACACCGCTCCTCTATCCGTCTCCAGGCGGGTCCGCCCACATGCAGATACACCCACCTACAGGGTCACCACAACATGAGGAACTGTATTAAAGGGTCGCGGCATTAGGAAAATTGAGAACCACTGCCTTAGAGGGTACTAGTGTTGGGTCTCCAGTCCTGTTGAATATCCCAGCCAAGCCTGAACCTATCTAATGTCACAGCTGGATCTGAGTCCCATGAGCCCGTCCTGTCTAAGAACACAGCCAAGCCTGAGTCCCGAGATCCTGACCTATCTAATGTCCCAGCCAAGCCTGGGTCCCAGAATCCTGTCCTGTCATGTCCCAGCCAAGCCTGGATGCCATAATCCCAACCTAGCTAATGTCCTAGCCAAGCCTGAGTCCCATGAGCCCGCCCCGTCTAAGAACACAGCCGAGCCGGGGTCCCTCAATCCCGTCCCATCCTAACTAAAGATGCTGTCTGTAAAGGGAGCCATCAGAACCCTGGACACTCAGCTGCTACCCAGAAGTGTGGTGGTGTTAGTCCACCCAGAAACACCTCAGAAGCAGCCGGGGGATCTACCCGTGAGAACTCCACCCTGAATCCCCTGTAGGAACCAGTGCATGGAGACTGGCTCTCCAGGTGGGGCTGCAAGGAGGTCGAGGGCTGAGCGAAGCCATCGGGAGCCCGAGATGGGCAGCTAGGAGAGCCGGGCTTTCCCTGACCTTTACAAAGACTGCCCCACCCCCTGCTGCCCTGCTCTCATCCTCCTGAGCCTGGAGGCCTGTGCTTCCTCTCCAGGTGGCACCAGAGGTGGGTGTAGCCGGGAACCCCTGGTGGCATAGTGGTTATCCATGGGCTGCTCACCGCAAGGTCAGCAGTTTGAAACCAGCAGCCGCCCTGCAGGAGAAAGCCGCGAGGGGGGTTGAACTGCTGAGCTTCCGGTTAGCAGCCTAACGCTTAGCTCGCCAGCCAGGCTCCTTGGGGTAGCAGGGAAAACTCAGAACTAAACTCACTCACAGGGACCCTACAGGACAGGGTAGAACTGCCCCTGGAGGTTCCTGAGACTGTCACTCTCTATGGGAGGAGAAAGCCCCGTCAAACCCCCTCGCTGCTCTGAGGGAGAAAGAGGAGGCTGTCTGCTCCAGCCAAGCCTTACAGCCTGAACACCTGCTCA